TGGCGCAAGACTTTGGTATCCACTATCTCCCCGATATTAAGCCAACAGCAGCGGCGTACCCAGTGCTTCAACCGGACCCGGCCAGTTGCGTGGCATTCGCGCGGAGCGTGGTATTCGTGCGGGAAACTGGGAGACAAGAAAACTTGCCCGGGATCCGCGAAGGCTTTGGACGGGGAACTGGAGCTCACTCGGACCGGTTTCAAACATGGGTTCAAGACGAAGTTGGGACGACTTGGAAGGGCAGACCATTCATGGCGGAATAGGTCGTCTCGGGGATCCCACAACTCAGGGAATTTTTCGGCATTCTCGTGGAGGAGAATCCCAAAAAAAGAATCCCAATTTTTTGAGATGCGGACGAATCTGTGCACGTCCAGTCTGTCATGTGGTGTGTTTTGTGTGGCGTTACAAGTGTCCGGTTTCGACGCAACAAACATTTCGCACATTAGCCGTAAGGAGCTGTTTCGTCGTATCGCTGCAGCTGGTCCTTCTTTCTACTGTCAGGCGCAACCCGGTCAAAGGTTGGAGAAGTGGCCGTTCCCGCGGGGGTATGATGCCCCGGCCGAGCCTGCAGAAATGTTCTGGAGTGAGGATGTGACGAAACACGACTGGATACACATGCTGTCTCCCGTGTGCTTCATGGACTGCGGGAGAAGTGTCACAGTTGAGACGCTGGATGATCATGTCTCCGATGATAGGTTTTTAGGCCAGTTCTGGGGAACTGTGCCGGAGTCCCTTAACTACCGGGGTGACGCGGTGGTGGGCTTTCACCAACGAGCCTTGGACATAGAGATTATGAGGCGCCTCCCGCTGCACCATCCGTTGTTCCACTCGTTGAGTGAGTCAATAAGACAATCTCTTGAGACAGGCCCGGATACGGTGGATCGAAGCGCAATGAACCAAGACGCAACCGGTCACGGCGCAACGGGTCAAGGCACAATGGATTGGGTGCACCCAACGCCGATGCTCCAGTCGTTCAGACAATCTCTCAAACGGGCCCTCGAAGCAGACAACTTGAAGCAAAACGGAGCAAGAACACGGGGCGGTAGAGGTGCGACGAGTCAATCCCTCGTGGAGATGGCGGGTCACAGTGCTATGGACCAAGAGCCGATGGACCAAGCGCCGGTGGACCAAGAGCCGATGGATCAAGAGCCGATGGATCAAGAGCCGACCGATGATGCGAAGCCCGGGTACGAAGACGCGGGGGACGAGGAGATTACCATGAAAGCACATGACCTTAAGCGTTTGATGGCGGAAACATTTTGTGAACATTCTCGTGGCTTGCACAATCTAATGAATTACACTTTCTTGCGAGGGCCGAAGGTCCAGGTGTTCAAGCGATTTGATGGCAATATGGACGGCAAGATTCCATTGGGTTGCTTGAAATGGGCATTTCATGTGGCAACAAAGTTGGACTGCAGTAGACTGGTCCTAGCCAAGAATGGAGACGTGGTGTCTGCCTATCCCTCCTTGAAGCGTGCTGCAGGATGGAGGGCCGAGCGGCCGAGCAAGAAGGTTGTTGCTTTTTTGTTTGCGAAAGCGATCTTAGAAGATCATCGATGCGCATCATTGATCACACCATCGGTTGCGAAGCGAAGAGATCTCGGACGTGCATCGCCACGTACGAAGAAACCGCTAGAACTCCCGTGCTATTCCGAGCACATACACGGCTCGCTGAACCGACGTAAAATTACCTTCGAGGAATGGGAAAAGGAAGAGATCGAAACGGTGCCTGATTCCGCCCTTTGGCACGTATCCGTTACGTATCAAGAGTCGATAGCGAAGGTGCTTGAAGAGCCTTATGTGTGTCAGGACCACACGGTCGACGAACTTGTCGAGATGGCTCTGAAGCTCTCGTCCGAGACTAGCGACGTCGTCGTTCCTGTTTCCGACAACGTACGTGAAACTCTTGCTCGCGTGTTCATCGATCTCATCGGGAAAAGAGAGTGCGATCTACCTCTGGAAACGAGACTAAACACCGGGCCAGGACTGTTTCCTCTACGCCTCCGAATTCCCCCTTCGTTTGCACCTTCTGAGCGTATCGCAAAGTACCGAAAGTCAAAGGGTGGGGCCCGCGACCTATGTTTATAAAGAATCATTTTGGCCTGCTTGACAGACGATTCATTGCCGTCTGTAATCCTTACCAGTTCTTGACTTCAGAAGAATAACTTGATAAGGCCATGAAGATCGAGATGCGTTGATTGCAGCATGCCTATCGAAACTTTTATTTGTGCACTGCCTTCGATATATCGTGTGTGTGTATATGCGAGTGCGAGTACTTTGTTTCCACGCCATTATTTTTTGAATGAATGGATTCATGACCTGATCGAAATTACCTATCGGTATATCTGACGTGTTAACTTTGATAGATATATCCTTTGGTGTAGGTGACGTTCTCGAATAAACGACCTTAATAAATTTCAATGAAGGACAACCTGACCGATTCCGGGACCAGAATTCGAACCAGTCACCTTTCTAAAGGAAGAATTCATCTCAAGTATAAGCCTTCCCACCTTACTGGAGTTAAAACAAGGGCAATATCTTGAGATGGAGCTTGCTGGGAGACATTTATATCGAAAATTCTCGAATTCCGTTTCAGTTTTGCTTCATAACTAAACACAGAAATATTAATCAGATAAATATGTACTTACAACGCGATCATTGTTTCTTCTTCTTCCATGAGCAGATCTTGAACACCGATAAGCTCCTCTTCATCAGTGGATGGAACAACTATCCCATGATATTCCTCCAATAAATTTTCTACTTGTTGCCTGGTAGCCATTATCTCCATTCGTTTCTTCCGGGAGTCTCTTAAGCTGGCTAAGCTCTCCTGTACATCCTTCATAGTTGGCTTGGCATGCTCCTCGTCAAGAACCTGTATGCGTTTATTCGCTGCCTCGATCTCGGCCTCAAGTGCGTCTCTTTGCTGCTTCAACATCTCGCAAACATTTGTCCATTCATCTTGATTTTGCAACTCACTACAACCACAATATGACGCCAACAACTAAGTGAGAAGTACTCTGATTGTGCTACTTGTTCTTTCACCAAACTATCTATTTCTTTCTCTAATGACGTCTTTAGGTCAACGAGGTTCTTCCAAACTACAATAATTAATTTCACACGGCTGTGAGACACACCACGTGGGGTAGGACACACCACGTGGGGTAGGACACACCACGTTGGGTAGGACACCACGTGGGTATAAACGGTATAAACACGTGGGTACTTACTTTCGGGACATGCCGAAAGCAGTGACCGGGTTTCGTCGATATGTTGTTGTATCTCTGGGTCATTAACAAAACCTGGGCCATCCAGCGCTTCAGTAGCCGGCCCGTCTAAAACACGTACCGTAGGTTCCGGAAGGTGTGCTTATACATTCAGTTTCCGCTTTCCTCAGTGCGACCTCGGGCAAGGCGTCCCCCTCAAGAGAGACCGCTTGGGCGAGCATGAGCGCGGTCGCCTGGGCAGCGATCAACCGGCGCCAGAGGTCCGCACGGTCTTCGAACTCTCGCGCCAAGTCCTCCGCCGCAGACGGATTGACTGTCGTCCACAAAGGGTCATGCGCGTCCAGACTTTTGGAGATCCTGCAGATACATACAACTATCGGCTCCCAACTCCCACAATGCTAGTTCCCCCACCCTACTGTTCCCCCACCCTACTGTTCCCCCACCGTAATGTTCCCCCACAATTGTGCTCCTAGGAGTACTGGATCCCAACGGTAGCGGTCCCTGATAGCACTAACTCACAACCGTACTGGTCGCCAACAGGACTTAATCCCAGTAGTACTTTTCCCAACGAGTGCTGGTACTGGTTCCCAACGAGTGCTGGTACTGGTTCCCAACGAGTGCTGGTACTGGTTCCCAACGAGTGCCGGTTCGTACTTCTCCAACTGTACAGTGCTATTTTGACTAGTCATGAAAAATTTGATCGAGCCGCCGCGGCATCAAGGTGCCTGCGTGGAACCGACCGTCGAGCCAGAAGGCGACCCAGTTTTCACAGAAGCGCTGGTTCTCGCTTGGTTCAGGGTGCTCGCTGGTTCGTTCATTTCGTTGTCGTTGTTCCACCGCAGGAGACCGCGGTCGTCGTGTGCCATTGTTCTGCGCCGCGGTAGTAGTCGTCGGGGTGGCGTGCGTCAGAGTCGTATCCGTCATTGCTGCGTCTAGTAAGGCGGTGAGGAGATCCGTGAGATCGGTTTCCAGGCCAGGAGGTCTCCATTCTATTTCTTCGTCCTCGTTGCCTGGCAAAACGGTCAATGGAACTGTGAGCTGATGCTCAATGGGTGCTATAGTCATTGGTGAATTCGAAGCTCCGGCTACTAGGGGGAATGGGCCGCCGCCGGGACTGCTGTCCAGGAGCCAGAGCTTGTGAAGCTCGGGCAAGAATTGTTTATTTCGATAGACGAATGGATGGCAGGACAGTCTCCACGGGAGATCATGTTGTGAGGCGAAGAGGTTGAAGGCCCATAAGACTATGAACGGCTGGATGCTGGTAACCGACTCCAGTTGGATTGTTCGAGTCACTTCACAGTTAGAAGGTAAGCGTGGCACCAAGCGGAAAAAAATGGTGAGTAGTGAAACGTTTAACCAGCCGCAAGTGCTTGGTACAAACAGGGTCAACTTCAGCGGTCGATACGGCTGTGGATCTGACCGAAATATTCCAGATTCAGTATGCCGTTCCGATAGCAAAGAGACCAGCTTGGACGCTAAAGTCACTGGAACCTCCAGTTCCGTTCGATGCAAGGGGTCTTCGCTCTGGGAATGCCCACCGACGTGTCCGTTCATGTGTCTCGTCAAGGTATCATCCTGCTCATGCTTTCGCCGAAAATGACTTGCAAGACAGGCGGCTACTGCCGTTTCAACAGCATCTGTCAGTTTATGGATTGAAAAATATCGAAGCTGGGACTCCTGATCATTTGTTCTCTTCGCGTTAAACATTTCGTCTCCAAACATTTCGTCTCCAAACATTTCGTCTCCAATGTCCGAGCTGGGTTCGATGCAGTCCGGTTCACTGAACATTCTGGACGGACCGAAGTCTTGAGGCGAGCTCAGGGAACAACTCGGGAAGCTCCTGATCGCTGACCTCTTTTTTTTAAACGGAGACACCTTGGTGGCCGATAGGTTGCAAGTCTCTAGTTTCTTGGACCTGAACAAGATACTGAGAAGGACTGAGGAGTCAAATGAGCTCATAGGCACCGAGGCTGGCGCCGACCGCTGGATGCTGACCACTTTCTCAGCGTTCTGTTCGATCAGATTCAGGGTCTCATCCGACAGCTGCCGGTCTGCTGGGATGTGCAACTCAGCAACCGGACAGGACGCGATGTTTTTAGGGGGCGGCAGCTTCGTGAGGTATTCGTCAACAAATAAGTAACTCGTAATCAATGGTGAAATATGGGACCGGGTTTGTCCCATAACACACTGCACCCCCTCAAGTTTGTCCGGGTAGACATATGTCCACGTCATTAAACAGGTAGCTGGATACAGTCTGCCTGATGCTCGTGGTCAGCCTAGGTACCCGTAAAACCGAGTAATACACAATTTCAAAGTCAAGTCGGTCCCCAAATTAGCCTGGACACACACGTGTGCGATGAGGTTTTGGCTACTTATTCCGAGCTTCGATGCCGTAAAACTAAGCTTGCTAAAGTCTAGTAAGCGTTAAGAATAGACGAACATTCCGATATCAGAGGATTCACATGCAACTAATGATATATTCACAGTAAGCTCCTTGATCTTCGTACTGCCATCCGCCTTCAGTATTCCGGATCTGTACGTGAGTGAAGCTCCAGGGAGATTGGCGAGATATCCCTGCAGATATTGATAATTCAAAGGCTGTGATGATGTTCGACACCGGCTCAAGTGAGAGCTGGATCCCGGCAGAAAATTGTAAAGATGAGAATTGTGTTCATAGAACGCGGATAAAATTCAAGGGGAATGAGGAATACACACAGCCACGTCACGTTGTTGAATTTTTGAGTGGTGGGATAGAAAGTCGACTTGTCCCCAGAAATCGTAAGAGCTCCCTCCGGCCGATGCGCATCTTCATCCAATCTTTTAGTGATAATTGATAATGTTCGTGTCCCTGATGTACCTATCAACTTGGTCGAATCAATGACAATCCCAATTATGAGCCGGTTGAGCTGGGATGGTCTAATAGGTTTAGGTTTTACTACACCTGAACAAATAAGGGAACATAGATTATCTTTAATTGATCAAATTAAGCTACATGTAAGACCTATTCCCCTTACAGCAACTCTCTGAACTGGCCTCTGCGGCCCAATCAGCTTCTATGGTTCAATCAGCTTTTATGGTTCAATTACCTTCTACCTTTGATAGAATTCGTTACGAGAATTGGGGTTACGAAATCAATTTTCGTATTACGCAAATGATAAGGATGGCTTCTTTAATTTGGGAGGATTGAACGAGAAGTTTGCGGACAAGCAAATTAATTGGATCGTGGGGAAGAATAAGGAAGGTTACTGGTCCAGTCGACTTAGTTCGGTAGAGATTGGTGGGATTCCTTACCGGCAAGAGTGTGATGCGATATTTGATACTGGAACGTTGATGACGTATGTGCCTACTTCCGTCTACGACCGTCTTTGGTCTGCGGGATGCTCGGTACCGGATGTTACCCTGGTGTTCGGGGAGACTCGTCTTCCTTTGAAGAAGGAGGCGCTGGTCTCGGCTACGACGACGAACGAATGTTCTTACACTTTTGCGCCAGAACCAGGCTCATTACGCTCCGAATTGAAGCAAGAGTGTTGGACGCTCGGTTACGCGTGGTTTGCGTCCTATCCCACAATATTTGACTGGGAGGGTGACGAGCCGTTATTGGGATTTCTTGTTGTTTAACACGCGGGTGCAGAATGTCCCGAAAAAATTGGAAGACATCGGTGTGTCGCACCTAGAGTGCGCACACACGCGCACCTCGTCCGGGGTTAAAGGAATAGATAACTGAAATGCGCTCGGTGTTCGTTGCTGCTTTGATCGGTTCGGCCGTGGCTCAGAAGGGCAGACAGTCAAGTGACCCCGTGTACACTTGCCCTGCCGGGTTCAACCTGAACGGCAAGATCTGTGAGAGACAGACCACTGCGCAGCCTCAGCTGATCTGCCACCAGGGCGTCTTGAGCGGCTTGGAGTGTCTGACTGAGACCCCCAAGTCCACGAGATGTCCGCCGGGTACCCTGCAGTCGGGCAAGCAGTGCATTACCTCTCAAGAGTTCCCTCCTGTGAAGGTGTGCCCCACCGGATTTGTTGAGACCCTCGCTGGGTGTGAGGCCCAACAGCCGCTGCCCCTCATTGAGGTGTGCGAAATCGGCTCCAGGGAAGGCCCCGAGTGCGTGACCGCCGAGACGGCCCCGTACGTCGTGAGCCAGAAGTGTCCTCCCGGCTTCGAGGAGGCAGCCAAGGGCGGCTGCTGGAAGAAGACCACCTACGATTGCACTCCCGCTTTCGCCGGTAAGGGCGGACTCCGCGGCCTGATCGGCGAACTCGGCGTTGCCCCTGCAAACGCCAAGGCACAGGTCATCAAACAGACCTGCGAGCGCAAGGAGGCTGCTCCTTACCTCACCGACAAGGTCTGCCCCGCCGGCTTCGAGGACAACGGCATCAACGGCTGCATCAAGAAGCACTTCCACCCCGTCATCACCAAGTGCTCCAACGGTGGCGCTGCCTCCCAGTGCTTCACCACCCGCACCGTGCCCTTCGAACAAGAGTGCGAAACCGGCGTCATGACCGGCAAGATGTGCCGCATTCAGAAGACCGTCGCGCCCGAGACCTTCTGCGCCACTGGCTATGACAACGGCCAAGCTTGCGTCCAAGCCCACCCCACCGCTCCCGTCTGCGCACCGGGTCTTACCCTCACCGGCGGTCTCTGCGTCGGCTCGGAAACCGCTCAACCCGAAGTTACAGTGACTCTGACCTGCACTGGCAAGAACTGCCACCACTAGGGTGCCGCGCCATACGTATACAAGAACTTTCATCAAACGCCTGTCGCTATCCTTAAGTAGAAACAACCCATGATCACTCGCCACCTGTAACTTACACCACCGCCACCCAGCCGGGCACCCTGTCTGGGTCGTCGTCCCCCCCGCGTATCTTGTCCCCCCCCCGCTCCCCCTGGGGTCGAGAACTTAATTTATTGTGCTCGCCTCAAGAAATGAGAGGCGGGGTCAGTCGACCACGGACGTGTACCGCCGCGGAGTGTATAATGCATGTACTCGCTGTGGCTGAAGGGTCCACGTTTGTCTCGCTTCCGAACGCTGGTCTGAATTGCGGGGCCGACAAAGGCGAGACCGGAAAGGGTCCGCAGAGTGGTGAAAACAGTTCGTCACCCACCAGCACAAGTTATGTGCCTAGAATGGGTCGTATGACGGCGTATGCGAGGCCTATGTTTGCTAACTCCGTTGAAGGATACTTACGGCTCCGTGACTCACTATCAGAGCAGGAATGGAAGGCGATGGAGAGTATTAACGATAGTAACTTGGAGACTTGCCGACTGGACTACTTGGAACTGGCGGGAATAATCGGTCTGTTTGTGGATTTTCCATTTGGGGCGGTGAAGGGTGACATATTCCGGAGGTTAAAAATGAACACGGCCGAACGCGACATATGGACTTCAGGATGCCTTTTGGAGTGTGCGAAGGTCCCTACCAGGAAATTATTGGAAATGTGTGTTAACAAGCTTAACTACAATCCCGGCGTCCAGATTTGGGTACTGGAGAGCTTTAGGGCGAAACGGCTGCGATATTCGTCCTACCTATCGAGGTCCTGCGATGACAAGAGTCTTGCTCGGGGCTTACTGGAACCAGTTATCAGACAGCTTCGGCATTGCCGACTAAGCGTTAGTGACTTTTTGGATAGGCAGGTTGAAAAGGTCTCTCAGAACGAGTCGTTCGTAAGTCGGATCTTCAGCCAGCCGGATATGATAGCGAAAATAACGGAGGACTTCGTGAGGCGCAAGGAGAAACCGGCCCCAGCCAAAATAGCCGAGGAGTCCGTGACCCCCACGGAGGAGGAGGCCGCGGTGGGCCCATTGATATACGTGGCCACGTCTGGAGGACCCACGAAGCTTGCTGAAGCTCGGGATACCTTCCGAGACGATTTCGACGCCTACGAGAAATTGCAAACTGTTTTACCAACGGCGACTCGTCAGAGACTGAAAAAAGTGTCGGAGATAGATTTCAGGAAGTGTGGACTGGATTATTTGGAATTGGGTCAAATCATTTCGCTGTATGTAGACAACCCGTTTGGAGGGGTGTGGCCCCGCGAAGGTGCCGGCCACGATCCGGCGGACGTGCTTGGAGTTAATCCAGAGTCGCGGAAAGCAGACGTATGGACAACGGGTTGTCTTCTTCAGTACGCCGCGGTACCAATTTCCGACCTCGTTGACTTTTGTTCTGACACACTCGGGTTCGCGACGCGTCTCCACGGGAAGCCATCGCTAGAGTGCCTCAAGCCGGCAACGTTAACCTACATCAACGACGCCGAAAGACCGGCTCATGGGCGTAAGGAGCGACTCGCCCAATTCATGGATCAACTGAAAGACGTGACACTCACCTCGTCAGAGTTTGCCGCTATGCAATGCAAGAACTTCCTGAACAATCAACAGGTTACAGTAGGTCTGATCGCCGCGAACCGGGCTAAGAATATCGCGCCGGAGGGCGGGGACTGGCTTGGCGGGAAATTGCCAAGTGAAGTTGAAGTTGAAGTTGAGACGGGGACGGGGAAGGACAGGCTTGTGTGGGAGATGCAGCAGCCTGGTGATACGCACCGGCCTAGTGAGAACGTCTTGCGTTTCAGAACCAGTAAACGTAGTCCGGAGATGCCTGTATACATTCTGACAGATTGCGTCAGAAATAGCTTTGCGCTGAAAAAGCCAGCTGTAATAAAAGACGACGCGGAGGCTGCTAAGATTGTAGATGAACTGTTGCCAGCTTCTGTGCGCATGAACATGGCCTTCAATATGAAGGTGGAAGACCTTCTGGAATGTCGTTTGGATTACGTAGAAGCAGCTCGGATTATTTGTAAGTACATTAAGAAGCCTTTTGGTTCTATTACGCATACGGCTCAGCAGAAGTTTTTAGAATATTTGGACAAGAAGAAAAAAGTGGTCAACCTCCAAGGATGGATGTCTGGCTGCATTCTTCGCTATGCCAAGGTACCAATTGACAGGCTAAAAAGGGTCTGTATCGAAACGCTTCGCTTCATACCGAACCCCGACCCGTGGTTTCTCGAGTGCCTCAGAATTCATCCCATGACCATCAGTCACTACAATCGTGTTCGGAACTCGATAACGGATCCAGACGAGTACCTTGCTACCTACGAAAATGCAGTGATCACCGCAGACACATACTTCGAACTCCAAACACACCCAAGACAAATCATTCGCAGACGCCTTCAACAACTCGTCCTCCAACCCCACCCACAAAAGCCTCCGACAATCCTACAGTCTGCCCGCGACCCGTCGTCCCACGACCCATCGTCCCACGACCCATCGCCAGGTGCTGAACTGGAACCACGACGAGGCATTAAGAGACTCTTCCCGCATCGGGGACGTGCCTTTCCAGCCGAGGAACCCTCGCAGAAGCGGTCGGTCCCGGTCACGCGGCTCATCCCAGGAACTAACTTGGCCCCGGCCACGCAGTCAGCGCAAAATGCAACGGTAACTCGTCGAATGACTGATGAACTCGCTGCTGAAGTCGCTGATGGCGTGTCTGATGCCGTGACGCATGGAATGGCCGATGGACTGGCCGATCACGAAACATCGAGGCAGATACGTCCGGAGGTGACTGATCAGCTGCTGGCCGAGCAACTGGCGGATCAACTGAATAGCGCCACGAGCCTACTGGAAGACGCGGATCGGTCACTCGCGGTGTTTGTGACCGACCGCTCGGCGAACGAGTTCTTGGGCTCGACTACCGTCTGCCCGAAACCCGAGGCCGTCACGCGTAACAGCGTCCCGTCGATGGATTCGGTACTCGGCGTCTTTGCGGAAGAGATGCAGCACATCTTGCCCCCAATGTCCCCGTGCAGTCTGGGGGAGCTTGCCGAACTACTTTGACGTCTCGACAGCCTGGTCTCGGCCTTCTGATCTCAACCTCTTGGACGTTCGCAGGACCTTTGTGTACCCGCGTCGGTGACACACGTCTGGCACACCGGCTCCGCGAGTTTTTTGGCAGTTCAGTTAACCCATTCACAAACCCCGTTCACAACCGACTGCCGAGAGGGGGAGCTCTTAAAATCCGAGATTATGAAAAAAAACCAAAAACCTCTCCAACTCAAAATCGAACCACGGTGGCAACGTAAAGCGAACCATGGTCGGATCTTCACCGACTGCAAACACTCCACTGCCCGTAATGTGTTGTTTATATTTTTCCCTGTCAAGGCTTCTGAGCCGCCCTGTGTGTGGTGCTCGTTTCTTGTAGACAGTGATCAGAACGATGGTTAAAGGTCCGTTTTGATTTCTGATGTGTCGAAGCATTTAGAGCTCTTATCGGCTGGGAGGTCAACAACTTTGCAGGTATTGATGACAAGGGTACCGTCGGGTTTCCCGCTGTCGCTGCCTCTTGTTTCGAGTTGTCTCAAAGTCGACATGCCGTCCACCAAACACCCGAAAACCACGTGGTGCCCGTCAAGGTATTTGGTCTCCACGAAAGTAATGAAAAACTGGGAACCGTTCGTGTTTGGCCCGGCGTTTGCCATCGAGAGAGCTCCGGGTAGATCATGGTGATACACAAACGACTCATCCTCAAACTTAGCCCCATCAAACATCGATTCACCTCCGGTCCCGTCGTGGCGAGTGAAGTCTCCGCCTTGCGCCATGAAGCCATCTATCACTCGGTGGAATGTAGAGTTGGCATAGCGATTTTCACAGGCCCATGCAAAATTTGCGGTCGTCCTGGGCAGCTCCGATCCAAACAACCCTAACGTAAGTACACCCAGCTCACGGCTCTCTCCGTCCTTGATCACACTAACATCAAGTTGAACCAACCGGTCGATCTCGCCTTCAGCCAGAGACTTGTTCGGAGTCAATTGCCTCTCAACCGTCGTGAAGCTTCCCGTCGTCCTGCTTCCTGTGGGTGAGCTACTTGCCACAAGTACCAACATGTTGGAAGCTACGAGACCCTAAACAAACTCCTGTTGATCTTGCTATGGGAGACTGTTACCACGTCGAGCAATTTCATCTTCTAATTTTTGGCTAATCCTCAAAGGATCACGAGGCGGTGAAAAGGGAAGGATAATTTTGTTGGTGTCCGAGACATGTGCAGTGGCGAAGGGGTTTGGACCACTGTGGTTACTTCGTGAAAACCAACCGAGCAAACAAGAACCCCGGGTGCTAGAGGACACCTGGGACAGGTGCAGCGGGAAGTGCGGGCGGCAAAAAAATCTGGGGACGGGGAAATTATTTTTGCAATATAAAGCGCCATGAAGGGGCTTCCCGCCATGAAGCCTGCTGTAAATAGCCCGAGTGGCTGGTTGCTGATAGCTGTGACGCATAACCTGCAAGCCCCTGCATCCGTCCTCGGGGTCATCGCAGAAATTGTTCGAGAATCCAGCCGAATACCGTTTCCGGATGGTCGACCGGCGGACAGCGGGCACGACCTTACCCCGAACTACTCGCTCAGTATAGCACCCAATCTGGACAACGACGGATTCCCGGCTTCCGGAAAGGGTACGAAGGCGGAAGGTGACGACCAGACACTGCTCAAGTCCGTTCTCCTCAAAGACCCAGCCATAAACGACGTGCCGATCTCGGGCAACAATGGCTTGCCCGAGAGCCCCCGAGGACCCCAGTTCACCATCAGACGGCAACCTCGCATTATAGGAGACTGAGCGCGAGACATCTGCGACCAACGCTTGACTTACTGACCGCCTCTGAGGCTTAGCTGCCTCCGGGGTTAGCTGCCTCCGAGGTCCAGCTGCCTCCGAGGTCCAGCGGGGCCTCTTGCCTTCGAATGCACGTCCGAGATTGGTAGACTCGAATCTGGTGAAGCCGGAATTAGCCCGCGCGCGGAGAACAGTCCTGATCGATCTCGCTTGCTCCCTCTCTTTCTGAAGATCTAGTACAATTTCGGGAAGGAACGGTGGCTCCAGCAGAGAGGACAGCCCGAGGAACGCGGCGAGCAGCCCGAGAAACGCGGCGAGCGGTCTTGCTCAGTGATCTCGGAAATGATCTTGGGGGTAGAATATTTTTATATATTCGGCACAGATGAATAATTCGTGGGGGGGGATAAATAATTCGAGAAATATAGATGAGTACTAGTTTGGGTAGAGATTCCAGAAGCCAGACCTCATATGGGCCATCGGGAGCGAGCGCGGAGAAGCGGCCAGGGGTGGCGAAGGAAAGTTTACAGTTGCGGAAGGAGAGGAGCAATGGGGAAGAGCAAGCGTTGACCCCGCGGCAGACATTGCAATGTCAGTTGTTGTTTATAATGATTGGGACGAGTGCGATGTACTACTGGAACTGCGCGTTGAACACGTTATATTCGGTAGTAGTGGTGAAGCATCCGAACGATATCCAAACGATCACAAACGTGTATACGGTGATGGCAGTGATTTCTGCGTTTGCTTTATCCATTTATGGGGCGTCCAAGCCTTGGATGCACTTCGTGGGTGGTAGTTTGTTGGCCGGAATGTGTGTGCTCTTCCCAGTTTTCGTGTGTCACAGTGGGGACGGCAAGACGAGTGTAGTCCTGCTTCACCTGTCCAGCGCCGTTGCTGGTGCGGGTGAGATGTTGTTCCAATGTTCTGGCTACGCGTTCGCTGTGCTGCTGAATAAACGGTTTGCGGGCTACATTTCTTTCGGTTACGGAGCCTGCGGTGTCCTCACCTTTGTAATCTGGATGATTCTGAGCGAAGCCATTTGGCCTTTGGCCACGGGCAGTACCCACAACATGACCTGTGCCGTCTGGGTACAGTTCGGCCTCGGCGCCGTTTTCATAACATGCTCGCTACTGGGCACCTGCCGCCTATTGCAACTCCCGCAAATGAAGGAGTGCCTCAAACTCGGCGAACGGAACGTCACCTGCCAAACCTCCATACAGGGCGAAGTTGGACGCAACCTCCTCGCCGCGCCCAGTCGGCTTTCCATGGATGACGCCGCTGGAGACGCAGCCGTCCACATCCGACTCCATCCTCGCGACCGTGTGGACACGCCGGGTGCGGACTCCACACATCAGGTGGAAATCACACCAGCTACGGAATACACGCAGAATGCGGAATATACGCAGAATGCGGAGAACACACAGAGTGCGGAGAACACACAGGGTGTGCCTAACCGGGTACGTCAGTCCTGGCGGAGGTTGTGGCCGATTTTCCAAGAGACGTGGCAAATGCAGATAGGTTTGGGAATTTGCCAGGGCATAAGCATGATGGCCTACCCCCTTATCGGACCCTACCAGTTCAACTTATCGGTGCGCAGGAACGACATTTTAACCGGCATTTTTCAGTGCGGTGACTTCGTCGGCCGTTACATCCCGAATCTGGCGCCCATCGTCCCCGCCCTGTTGCTACCCGCGCAATGGATGCTGCCCCTGACGCTGGTCCGCGGCGTCCTGCTAGCGCTCTTCATCTACATCGCCAAGCTCACGGCTGACGGCCAAACCACCCACGTACTGACTCAGTACGGCACGCAAGTCGTTCTCATGGCTGCGCTCGCTCTTTCGCATGGCTATTACGGAAGCATCTTTATGATCCGCATGACTGAAAATCTAACCGCCCCCGCGGCGAAGGTGCAGGCCTCGGCCATGGCCGTCTGCTTACTCGTAGCCTGCATCGCCATCGGCATGGGCTTCGCCCAACTTGTCAAATTTTGAACACTTTTTAACACACGAAAGGGCCCGCGTAAAGGCCCAACACGAAAGGGATACGTATATGGGATTTTACGCCCACAAGCATGCCACAAGGCTGCGCCATCAATAAGAGGGCTGCCGGGGGGGACTAGATCTGTCAATATTAGTTCTGTTAACCGGCCGTGGTAACAAGGCTTGCCGACCGTGGGGAGAAACATGGTGGAGAAGCACACTATCTATCTAACTACGCGTCGTATGTATCGCCTTGGGTAGGGTCGCCTCCGAGCCAAGATCCCCGGCCCACGGCACCAGCCAGTCCCAGTTTCGGCACGGCCGCACGCTTTTGGGCCGGCGCTCGCTGACTCAGATTGGAGCCGTCGGTGCGCGTGGACCCCGTTCCACCGCGCGGGACCCACACGTCGCCGTCTACATGCTCCTTGGTGCCTCCTTGGCGATCGCTCGCGACCTCTCTCTCTTTCGGTGCGGTCTCCCTGCGACCTTCCAGCCTTCCAGGACCCTCCAGTCGGGCGGCGGCGCCCTCCAATCGGCTTGGGCAAAAGTCAAACTCATCGGAGTCTTTCTCATACCGGTCAATTCTGTTGTCAGCTGCTCGTCTCTCGAAGCCCCGACCCTCCGGAGGTGGCCTAACATCCCCACTCGATCTACCGAATAAACTTTCCTCGCCGGTCGTAGTATGTCGACGGTCCTCTTCCTCGTCCGAAGAGGAACTGGACCGTAGCGAAGACATCTCTCCATTCAAAATCCTGGTAGCCTCAGCTAGGTGGTACCTCCGGGCCTCTCGCTGATTCCGATTCGAGGCGAATCTGTCGTTCTCCGCATCCTCCTACAACAAATGACTCACCGATCCGTAGCCCCGTAACACGCTGACTCATAGCAGGCGGACTCATACCACGCGAACCCGTAATGTAGGAGTCACAACGGGTGGGTATTGAATTGTAATTTAAACACGCGCGTGTGGAACATGCTTACCGGTTGTCTCATTGACCGCTTTTGCGGTTGGGACTGTCTGGCGGGTGCCGACGGTATCTGCTTAGCTTGAGTGACCCAGGCTTTCCACTCCTACAAGGATTCTTCTTTGCGGGAAGGCGCGCGACAAGGATGTGAGTGTGTCCTAGCTTACGGCTAAGCCGGTCTGCCATTTAGTGATCTGTAGTTTGAGTTGATCAGCAGTCTTCATCATCTCGTCTAGTTTAGTTTCATACACGCTCAGCGCACTTTGGAGATCCGGTAAGGCTTTGGCGACAGTCGTTTTCTGCTTGAGTTGTCGGTAGCGGTCCACACTGGCCGATCGCTGAACAGCACCCATGCAGCCGGAGGGGTCGCGTCCCCTGCCAGGGTCTGCGGGTTGATGGTAAGCGATCATGCCACCAGAAATGGTGCCGGTTCGGCCGATGGGGGGCTGCCGACTGGACGATCTCATTGTTGGCAATTTTCCGATTTTTAGAGAAAAAGTCTAGTTAGCCTAGTTAAGTCAAGTCTAGTCTAGCCTAGCCCAGCCCAGTCCAATGCAGGATCGTCAGGCAGTAGAGAAGGCGTGTGATGGCATAAATACGAAGCCTAAGTTCAAGTCTGCTTACTACTTTTCGTTGCAGCCTCTTGAGACGCTTTGTGACTCCTCAACTGGTCGTTGTCATGCCAATGCTCTATATGCACTGGACCATGGTACGATTCCCAAAGTTTTGGTGGGTTTGAAGACGTTTCCCGATGATTTGCAGGTGGTGAGTGCGTGTATAAAGATTCTCAACATGATGTGTCAGTCTTCTTCTTCTGATCAAGTAAAGCAGTTTGTGAAGGAGGGTGCCTTCAGTGCCATATTACAGTGGGTCGAAATGGATCGTGGCGCGAACGCGGCGGCGGCTGCAGGGCCTGTGTCTGGGGGAATTAGCGGCGGAGTTAGTGGGGAGGAGTTTGCCAAGATCATGCCGCTAGCATTAGACTGTGTAGACTTGGTCGTGAAAAACGACCGGCTCATGGCGCGGCAAGCACTGCCGTCTCTGCTCAACCGTTTGCAGACTACCGTGACGGACACTGATGGTAGCAGTCACCGGCGACAACTCAACTCTACGTTGATTCATTCTTTGTGTGACTGCGTCAATGACCTTACAGCCGGATATCCAGAGCAGGACTTGGATGGAGCTCAATATTTAATCGCCTTTATACTAAAATTATCAGAAGCGAAGAACGAAAGAGAGGTCCGAAAGCTTCTACCGACGGTCTTCGGAGCACTACAAGCATATGCAGCACATTCTGAGAATATAGGCAACTACATATTAGATCTGCTTGAGATAAGAAACAGATATCAAGATGAGCCGTCAACTAAATTACACATAAACCCAGTGCTTAGTCGTCTGTGTACCCGCGAGCAGGCAAGTCAAACGATAGAGACTATTAAGACCACTGCGGGGACTAAAGAGGATGGTAAGATGTTGATCCAAACTGCCTTTTGTCCGGATATGGCGGAAATTGTTCATGCGAAAGATGCGTACCAAGTATTAATCAAAGTCTTAAACCAGGCTACCGAGGACATCAGGAAGAAAAATTACTCGGAATCAAACCTCTTGTTGGTTAGGGGTGCATGTCTCTGCCTGGCCTATATGTGTGATAATCCGGAGTATATCGCTGATGTGAAAAATGCAGGAGCCCTGAAGTCTACGCTTCAGTTAATTACGACGGCCGACGACTACCCGGACATTATTGCGGCGACCTGTACCCTTTTGGGATCTATGTTAAAGGACCCTGAGGACTCGCTCAAGTTTATTGAGTCTGGTGTTTTGAAGAGGTTGTTGGATAAGGCGGCTGCAACAAGTGCGACCGGCGAAGGAAGCTCCTCTTTGCTGTCTGGAATCAGCATGGTCATGACCCACATTAGTCGTCATGAGGATTGTTGCACAGCCTTGCTGAATCAGAATGTCTGTTCGCAACTATCTCGTGCAATTGGACCCAACACATTCCGAAGTGTGGTTTCGCAAGTACTCAACTTCCTCATCAACTACTCTCACAACTCACCTGCGCTGGACCCCGAACTGATCAAAGTTGTACAAGCCGTTTACCAGTATAACCTGTTCAGTTCTCACGTTGTGGAGCAAGTAGTGCAATTACTCATCAACATCGCCGACAAATTCCCGGAATGCCTCGGTTGCCAGGTAGACGAGCAGGCTGGAGAACCTCCAGCCAGGAAAATGAGTGACGTACCTATGGCTGCGTTGTACATGGATCTTATAATGACGTCACTGGATAATATTCAAGTTAATGAACCCGCTTTCGCGCTCTGTGTGACGGCCTTGAACAAGCTTCCAGATCGACGGACCTTGCTCGAACACAGTTTGTCCACAACCAAGACATTGCTTCCAAAGATTGTTCCCCGGCATCATGAGGCTCTGCGGATTCTAACTCGGCTTGCCGCTCTATCTACACTTGATGATATTGACACTGCCGGTTTAGACTTGGCTGCGGCGATCCAGGCTCTAGTTAAGAGTGGCAGTCAGGTGGACGTGGACGACAAGGAGGCGTTGGTCATGACCCTTATTTTGTTGATCAAAACGAGCACTGCCTCACGTAGCGACGCATACAATGCTATCTTTGGTATTGCATTGCGCGTTAACGATCCGCTTATGTTGGTCTTCATTGTCTCGTTGATTAAAGATCTGATTGCGGAAGAACCGAGTTTAGACGACTCGTTACTGGAGTTGTTGGTTACAAAGACTCAGGAACTGCTCTCGGATCAGAGTGACTCCCGAGAGGGTTCGGTAGCAGCACTTAATCTAGTCACCTTCATTGCGGGCCTTCCGCGCCACAAAGGCGACGGTCAGTCGAAGTTCGGCCTCGAGGGGCTCCCTGGTCGCCGGGAGGCTTTATCGGATACGGTCGCTGCTGGTTCTGGATCTCGTTTGTTGCTGGAGCATAAAGTGCAAAGCGACGTGATGAGTATTGCAAAGAAGTTGAAGATGCGGGCAGATGTTCAGTTGGCAGTCTTCCGCGCTCTGGAGAGTATGCTACGCCAGGCAACTGAGGAACAGGTGAAGGCGACGCGCACTTTGGGCATCACGGAAGTCATCAAGTCAGCAGAGGCCAATCACTCGCGAAACACCGAGTTGCGGAAACAGACGTTTAAAGTCTCGATGCTAGTGATGCAGGAGAACTATCTAGAGGAGTTGGTGAAGCAGTTAATTGCGCGAATGAAGCAGGACTTCTCTAAGGGAATGTTCGACGATCTTGCAGATGACATGGACCAGCTTTTGGTCGCGTTGCAGGAACCGGATGGCCCGCGGCTTTGCACCCGACACAAGCTGATCAGCATCATTTTCAACGTAATCGGCGGACTCGGAGGTTCGCGAAGTCGGGATATGGCTAAGCTCATCACACCGGCGTTCACGCGACTCGTAACCGCCTATGCACAGACACCGATTGGGGGCCCAGTGTGTCAATCGTTCGTCGCGAGTGGAGATAAAGCGGCAAAGGGTGCGCCAGCGGCAACACCTGCTGAGGCAAGGAGTGTGGCTGTGGAGTTAACTAAGGCAATCATGAAAATGATTGCAGACGATCCGCACGATATTGCTGACGTATGTTTGCTGCTGCAGGTTGCAGGCTTGACTGTCGGGCACAACCAATATGTGGCCGAACACGTGATGACCATGGCACCAAGTCTGATAAACTGGTTGGAGATACTGGAGTACAACTCAACGGCGATGGAAGCCGTAGTGGCTTGGATGAGTTATATTCCACTCCGTGTCTTGGTCGAGTCAGAGGACTTCTCTACATTGCTACAGCGTCTAAGACGGATCGTGGCGGGGGAGGCAGAGGCGCCTGTGGGTGGACGGGCCAGCATGTACAGTGCCGGAGTTTCGAGCACGGCATGCTATAACGCGCTCAACATTCTGCGCTATTGGACCAACGACTTAGAACTGGTCACCAAACTGCAGCAAGAGGGGGTGGAAGCCGCGTGTTTCACGGCCTTGTCCAAGTTTGCGCACGACACGCACGTAATGAATGCCGGACTTCAATTGTTGGAAATGTTTGCAAACACAAACCCCATGGAACTACCACAGGAAGTTACCGTACAGCGTGCAAGGACGATCAGTCGCGCTATCACAAGTGCGGACTCGGAACTCACAGTTACTCGAGCCTTCAACGTTCTAGGCAAGATGCTCTCCATCTGCCCTGACCCAAAATGGTTCAGAGGCGAGACCTCTCTCATCAAGTCCGTCCGAACCGTCCAGGTCAAAGTGACGGCGCAGGAAGACATCGAGGATGCCATGGCGGTCGTGCTCTCCGTCATGGGCGGCGAAGAAATGGCCCTCATGCTCATGTCGCAAGTCATCGACACCATCAAACAACACAAGTCCCGGACAGCCGGAGGCCCCTGGCTCGACGACATCGGACCGCAGATGTCCGACGTCAGTCTCTATCTACAGGGCACACTCGAAAGTCCCCAAAAAACCTTCCTGGGCATAAGCGATACCTTCTCCCACATCGCCAAACTCTTCCAAGTCTTTCCCAAGCATAGCGAGCTACGACAAGGCACCTTCCGCTCAGCACTGGCTGCACTTAACTGCGCAATCCTCCTTAAGGATCAACCGAAAATTGCGAGCATCGCAGAAAAGGCAATTCTTGAATACATTGCGCCAGAAGTCATGAACACACTCAACACACGATGTACTACCACCAACCCCTTCACTTACCACCAACCCCTTCACCCACCACTAACCCCTTCATCCACCACTAACCCTTCACTTACCACCACTTGATGCCAGTGTTATCTCCTTCAGTCGATTTGGACGCGTTGAAGTTGATGGCAAAGATGTGCGAGTGCCCGACGACGAGCGAATGGGCGTTGGATAAGTTGAAGACGGAGGGTATTTTGACGCAGTGTTACCGGACGATGTCTGGGAAAGGATCGTCTTCATCGGATAAGTTGAAAGCTCTGAATTTCATGGGTGCTTTGAGTAGTTCGACGGAAGGTTTCCACATGTTGCAGCGCGCGTTCAAGATTGTGTATGGATCGAACACGGATTTTTGGCAGCACCAGTTGGCGTTTGCGAAGACGTTGCCACCGGAGGTGTTGCCTGCCTTTTTGGCTTACATTTACCACTTCCCGCGTCAGGTATCGGGGGTGTCAAAGCAGGCCTTGGCGGACGCAAGTAGTTTGTTGAAGGACTTGGGTTCGAAGGCAGCGGTGTCGTTGGTATACGGGATGTCCATCCTGGCACACGCGTGCAAGTTGGAGAAGGAGACAGGGGGTACGATTAACGCTGGTGCTGTGGCCGAGTTGGGAGAGGGATTGGATAAGTTAGGTCAGTTGTCAGCGTTGCGCTCGCTGAGTCAGCAGGAAGTGAACGAGTCGCTCTACCCGCTGGCGGTGTTCTTGCGGGATACCAGTTTCGTGGTGGAGTTGGATGAGCTAAACAACCGAGGCTTCGACATGCTGGGAGAGTTATTAGGCGAGGCCGATATGACGACGAGTTTGTGGAAATCGATTTTGCCCCTCATGTCGGCTGCGGCTAACCAATCGAACTTTGTCGCGGACCGCGTGGTTAGGAACATCTGTCCCGTTATGTTTGAGCAATCGCGCTTCTTCAAGGGTCAGAAGAGTGCGGTGCGCGAAGACGGGCTCCGTTTGCTGAAGCAAGTATCCATGCTGCTGCCCGAAATCCCAGGTTACAGTGTGTTCGCCGAGACCATCGGAGACAACTCGGCCATGGGCGCTTCCGCTGCTGGCGCCTCGGCCGTGCAGAAGGTCCGTGGGGCCTGTCTGCGGGAACGGAACGCGGGCACGGCCATGAACCACAGCGCGTGTGCGGTGGTCAAAGACTCACTGGAACCGGTGGTGGCCAAGACGCTGGAGGCGGCGGGCCAGAAGCCGATGAATCCAGGCGATGCGATGATGGGTGACTACACGGCCGCTGTGGAGTGTATCGGAATGCTCCGAGGCGAAACCATCGATGTCAGTCCGAGTCTGAAGACCTGCCTTACGAATCAGACCAACCCGGCGGTTGTCTCTAAACTAATTGCGACCATTGCGATGCTGCGGACCAACTCGCCACAGGCGGTGGAGAAGCTCCGGGGCGACCCGGCTCTGAGGAATCCAATGCTCCAACTTTTGAATGGCATTCCAAACGTACCGAGTGCGGAGCGCGTGGATCGCCTTAAGGTGATCGAGTTCTATACCAGCGGCTGCAAAGAAGATGTGACCAGCTGGCTGCCGATCGACAAGCTCGCCGTAAGCATGTTCCCACAGACGGAGGACGGGATTGAGAGACGCTACTACCTCAAGGCCCTTAAGACCAGCCGCGGCGAACCGACTCCCGAGATCGTGGACATTTTGATGGTCGGGTTGCAGGACGAACGTAGTCGCGAAGAGAGCAAGGAACTTTGCGCGAACTTCCTGAGCCGGGATGCGGAGGCAGGTAGCCGCAAGCTAGAAAGTCTTCTGGACCAGAATCAGGTCTGGGCGGGCTTGGTTAAGGACCTGAGCATCGTAGGTCCGTTGCTCTCGACAAGTGCTGTATTGCGAAAACACGCCATTGATCAGGCCCTAGGTGAGTGGCTCGGCCAGTTACCGCGCTCCGCTTCCGCCATTGCTACACTTTGCGAGTTGGAGCCATCGTTGGCGGCGCGAGTGAAGGAGATTAAGCCGGTTACAGAGGTAAGTGCGCAGTTCTCTACGGGCGGCGGCGAGATGGTCGACGGGGGTCTGGCTAAGTTGATTAGCTTATTGCTCAAGGACGACACGGATCCAGCAACACTGGCGGCCTGTGACGCAATTTTAGACGTGGGATTTACACAGGTGGGTAAGGGCCTGGGTGACAGCAAGTTAGTCGAGGCCTGTTGTAACTATGCCGTCGCGCGACCTTCGGATCTGCGAAAAGACTGCTTGGTTGTTGCCATGGGATTGTCCAAGTGGGAGAAGCAGTTGCCACGGATCTTCGACGCCATCTTGCGCCTACCGGATACAGGTGAGCTAAAAAAGCGGGCGCTCCGCAAGGTCGCGGATGTCCCCGAATGCCATCACATCATTCTACGAGAAGTGGCCAAAGCCGACAGTGGCCTGAAGCTGGACATGACCACCGCCAAGGCCATGCTGAGCAGCCAGCGGTCCACCGGCGTCAATGACGCAGAAGTGCTCACCGGTCTGGTCCAGTGGTTGCGACAACTCCTCGGTTATTGGGACGGTGAGATCGCGACTGAGCTAATCCGGACACTGGTTGGGCTCAAGGACTTTAGCGAAGGTGGCCCGGCCGCAATTGATGCCGTCCTCAGCCTGCTCTACGACGCCCTGGCTGCAGCCGCCAAGGCAAAGACGGTGCCGAAGGATGACAACTGGGGAGACGAACACGTGCCCTCCGAAGGGTTCCTGCCTCTGACTTATGCGATAAAACGTCCGAACGAACCACGGGCGTGGGAAGCTCTGGGCCTCAGTTCCTTCACGTGCGGTCTCTTCATCTCCACGCTAACCAAGCTCGTCGACCAACGGATACAGGCTACCAGCGGCATGACCCGGGCCAGCACGACCACCAGCGGCTCCGTGACCAACGCTGGAGTGGCCACCATGCTGAACCTACTCGCCTATCTTGCTTGCGAGAAACCGCTGGGCTGCGAACAGAGCTGGACGACCAATAACTTGTTCGAGAATTTGCGGACGTGCACTGGACTCGTCGGCGATGTGTACCCCATCGCCGTCATTTGCGCCAACGTCGCTGCAATCACCTCCGACCTAGATCAAATCAAAAATCAGCCCGATCTTTGGTCGGCCTTGCAACAAAAGGCCAACAAGCACAAGCAGTACGTGCAAGACACCATCCGCTACATGACCAGCTCCAGTTCTACCCAGCTGACCTTCTTACGGAAATTGGCATCATTCAACTGGTTCTCATAACTCAATACTCGATCGTCGATCGCAGCTGGTTGTTCTTAGTCGTTTGCGTTTACTGGCGCTTGTGTGGAACTAGTGGTCATTCATTTTCGGCGATTAGTTAGTTAGCATAAAAAGGTCAAATTATACCGAGAATTTCGCCCAACTCGGCGGCACACCCGTCCGAGAGGTCCAGGACCCGCATCATGGCTTCGGGGTCTACCACCGAAGATACAGATTGTGCGGAACATCGGTCAAAACACTCCGGGTCAATTGGTATCGACTTGGCCCCTGCATGCCCGTCGCTTGCCTCCGACCAGCTGGCCTCCGACCAACTGCCTTCGAACGACTGTAACCGTCCAAACTGGGCGTTCGTGCCGAATTGGATGTTGGGACCACACGCTGGCTTCGGCGAGACCGCGATGGGCGAGACCGCGATTGCCGAGACCGCGATTGGCAAGCAGCAACTAATGCCTTTATATGCAGTCTAAATACGATTGAGTGGACGTGCTCTGGCAGCATGGCGACTGAAAACGTGCGGGAGTGAGCGAATGCTGGGGGCATGACAGAAGCAGGGCGGCATGATAGAAGCAAGGGGTCACGGTGACTGGGTCACGGTGACTGGGTCACGGTGACTGGGTCACGGTGACTGGGTAGCCGGGCAGGTAGGGGAGGTGGGTTTAGAGAGTGAAAGGGGGGGGTGGGCATACTTGTTGTTGGTAGTTCATTTGCAGGTTTCGAATGATCCACACACAGCGGCTGAAGCGTTCACAGTGAAGGGGGTCATTGAACACGAAGGCCAAGCGTCGTCCCGGGAAATCAAGCATGACCACGAAATCCGGAGCGAGAGCGTTTTCGTCTGTCCGACTGTAGCTGACTCGCCGTTCACAGTAGGTGTGCATTCTGAGTTTGGCGCGAGCGGCGTGGATCTCCTCCTTTTCTTCGGCCGTTCGCACCTTGGTGGTTAGGCGGACGAGACACTCTAGAGGGAACTCGACCACTTCACCTTCCATTGAAGTAATCTCCAGTATCCTGAGGTCTGGCGACAAGCTAGTGAACAAGCAGTGCTCATCCAACAGCTCCGTCAACTGCTTCATCCACAACCCTCGCACTAAGACCAAAGCGTAGTGCTTCACAATCTTCTGGCCTCTGAGCAGATCGTTGCCGTCTATTATAATTGGTGCAGCAACCGACACCACAGGCGATCGGTCCTCTTGACCATCTGCGCACCGCTTACGATCTTGTCCCGAACGTGTTTCTCCCCAACGCGTTTCTCCCAAACGCGTTTCTCCCTCCGTGCCCTCTGGTCCCTCCGGAAGCCCTTGCCCCTCGGAACAGTTGTCGCAATGTTCTCTGTCTGGATGCGACCAGGCACTGCCGCATGGTGTACTATCATCGGGTCCGTAGGTTGAGTTTCGCAGGGTCCGGTTCGCGAGATCGGGTTCCTCCAGAGCATCGTGAGCGTCAAACGAAGGGTCGTAGCTGAGCTGTTCGATGGGTAGTGAGATTCCTCGGGCTCGTCCGCCACTGCTAATCCGCCCGTTCTTCAGTCGAGGAGGTCCACTGGGCAGGGCATTGGTCTTGGATGCCGTTGCCGCAGAAGGGCCGGGCGAAGTTTTTCCCTGAGTCCGTGTTGTGTGTCGGAGGCGAATCGTGTTTGAGTTTTCGGTAGCTCGTTGGGCGTAAGTTAGTGCATGTAACAGATCCGCAATGTCAGAGTCGTAGTTTCCGGAGTCAAGGGCTTTGAGCACGCTCAAGGCAGTGTGGTCTCGGCCTGAAGGGAATTGGGTGGTGGGGCAAAACATGGTCGTGGTGCGTTTTTAAAAATGGTGCCCCGAGTGCCGAAGCTCAACCTGGGCGAGGCCATTGGCAAGAACAGTGAAAGCCAGGACTGGCGGCAACAGGACTGGCAACCCATTCAACAGGACTCTAGCTCAAGCGCTACTAATTTACCCACCGGGGAAACGACTTCCAGCGCCCAAATGCCAGATCACCCACAGGCGGCGACAGGTAGTCACACGAACAATACTTACACAACAAATACACGTACGGCCGCAGGCGTTCCCTCTGTAGCCGTCACCCCGGCGACGTCTTTCCCGCGCCCCAACGACGACCATAACGAGGTAAATGAAATTTTAACATCTGGCTCACCGATTGCACCCGGTGGGCAACACGATAAGGACCATCAAACCCGCGCAGATGGGGGTTATGATGGGCTAAACGCCTCTCGGGAAAAGACTATAGGCGAGCGAAAAGAAGGTAACTACATTGACCCGGCGCACGAGGAACGGAGAAAACTTCAAGGAAGCGAGCACTCCACGTTGGGAGGCGACTCGAGCTCAGGTAGACGCCTTTCATCGGAGCTTCTGCTGGATCAAGCCCAACATGCCCCGGCGTCTTCCTCCAGCTCCGAAGTTCCCTCCCCACCAGGAAAGGGTGGGACGTCCGAAGATATTAAACTAAGGCACATGACCAGCCACGTTGTGTCCAAGGGTCGCCTAAGTCCAACAGCCTACGCAGCCATGTTGCGACAACGATTAAGCACACATGACATACCGGAGCTGGACTCGATAATAGCTGCACTTGTGGAGGCAGCACACACGCAGGAGGCTGCGCTCCAGCAGCAAGAGGCGTTCCAGCGGAACAAAAAGTTTTACGAACACCAAATGGAAACTTTTGCTGCTGATAAGGAGCGACTAGAGGCGGAAAATGCTGTCCTTAAGCATAAACTGACCATGACTGTAAGTAGTATTGCTGTTGGCTTGGTGATCATGCCGTTGATCCACCTGTCGATAAACGACTGATCGTTTATCGACCTGTCGTCCATGGAACGTGGTCCATGGAACGTGGTCCATGGAACGTGGTCCATGCCGGTAGATGTTATTCTCTATTCTTTCAGACATCCGACGATACTTTGCGCGAGATTAGCGACCGGTTGATGAAAGCGTACGCCGACCGGGACGATGCCTTGGAGACGCGCAAGGCGTTGGAGGAGGAGTTAGAGAAGAGCAACTGGGCGGTGCGAGACATGAGTTCCAAGTTGGCCGAACAGCACGAGTTCTGCATTCAGTATTTGAACGTCATTATGTATTACGAAAAGCACTTGCTCAGCTGTGCTCCGGGCATGGTCATAGATCTAGAAGATAAAGTTGCGCTGCAGAACCTGCAGCCTGCGGACCAATCTCCCACGGACGCTGGTTACTCGCCGCTAACTTCACTACAAAGGTCAGACACATCGCAACACACCCTTCCCCACACTTTTCACCGGAGTGGAAATGATCCGGAGACGAAAGAGGAACTGAAAAATGGGCGGAACCATGACCAGGGGTTTATGGAAGTTTCCGGTTTCCATGGTTCCTCAAGTATGGTGAGTCACGGAGGCAAAAAGAAATGGACGAATCTGCTGACACCGCGATTACTCAATCCTCATTTGCCAAAATATTTTCGCAAACACCACAAGGCGATCGACCGCGCCGTCACAAACCTCGACGGCTCCGCAAGTGCAAGATCCACTACGACCCAGGCCGGCTCTTCTACCAGAAGGATCATGGAAACCAGACACCAAGACCCAGGAGGAGGCGCTCCCGACCCCGCCAGTGATGACCCCGCCAGTGATGACCCCGCCAGTGATGACCCCGCCAGTGATGACCCCGCCAGTCATGACCCCGCCAGTCATGACCCCCGCCAGTCATGACCCCGCCAGT